AGAGCCTGCACCCCAAAAAAGCCCCAGCAGCAATCTCCCCTCCCCCCACGGTGTCATCCTTCGGCACAAGAGGGAGTGGCGTGGGGAGCACCGACGTCAGGGAAGAACACTATTGTTTGAAACCAGCAGACTTCTGCACATCAACTACAGCATGTAATGTGACATTATGACAGAACACTGAGAAGCGGTTCTGCTCTTCCAGTGAAAATAAATCCTCTCCTCTCTCTACTAGAGGTGGCCAAACCCACCTGGGTCAGTGCACGCACCCAGACCACACACCCCAACCACGCACCGCAGAGGGACGGGGCGGGAAGATTAGTGCAGATGCAAAAGTTGACTACTCACCTTTAACCTGCCGAACAGAACTGAGGTTCTTTTCAAAAGTGTCATCAAATTTGGGATTAGTGATGGGTTCAAAATCACTAGTATAAACTCTTCCAGTAGACGTGGAAAAACAACATTTACACATACAAGTGTGGTACCGCAACCGCCCTTCATCGAGATACGGGTGAGCTAAGGCATCCTTAGCAGATATCCTTTTGGACTGAAATATTGCATTTAGAGAAAAGAAAATAATACAAAATTAGTTAGGCTATTTTAAGAGGTACTGAAACAGTCTAAAAACACTTACCCATGAATTAATTGTAAATTGTTTTATAACCCCCTAATCCCGTTAAAGGATCAGCTCAGCCGGTGTTTCAGACCTGCACACGCTGCCGGTAGGGGGAAGGCTTTCCCCAAAAACCAGGAGCACGGCTAACAGGGCATGGACCCTCCTGCACTACAGCTAATGACACAGCACGCTGAGAACGTGATTTTCAGAAATATATTTATTTTTCAATAATTACTTTCTCCAGATAACCTTAAAGTTATGACTCCTACCATAAATCAAGCAAGCCCAAAGAATTTAATTTTACCAAATAGGGCATTTTTTAGGACCGTACTCTGCAGAGCATTTTAGCACATCCTCAAGTACGTATCTGAAGTAAAACACACATTTAAACACCCCTGCCAACTGAGTAGTTCAGGAGGTGGCATCTGGAGTTCCAAGTTTCAGAAAACAAGTGGTGAAGGAAGTGCAGGGAAGGAGGGGGCAAGAGCAGCAGATGAAGTTGCAGTCTACTCCTGTATTACTTTTTTGTGCTGAACCCAAGAAAAGTTCTGTCTCTACATGTCCAATGCCATCCCATCACAGCAGAGAGCACTAACTGTTTCTAAAGAATTGCAGACAGAAGCCCTCCTGCAAAGTCAAGGTGTAATGAAACCTGCTGTTATAGGTTAGTTAAAAAAACACAAACCAAAAAAAAAAACCAAACCACAAATAGAACAAGTCACTTGCTCAGAGTTACTGAGTATAAGCAGTGGCAACCCTGAAGCAGAATCATAGAATCCTTTAGGTTGGAAGAGACCTTTAAGATCATCAAGTCCAACCATTAAGCCAACACTACTAAGTCCTCTGCTAAAAAAGATCAGAATCTGTCAGGGTTGGAAAGGACCACAAGGATCACCCAGTTACCCCAAGTGTCCAGTAAACCCCAAGTGTCCCAATTCCCAGGTTATATTTTAGATTAAATTAAAATCACCTGTTCTAAAAGACTGTCCTGATGCTAAAAAACAAACAGCACACCAAGAAATCCATATTATATATATGGAATTCTTATGGAATAACAGTATTCTGAGTGTTGAGGGAGTTAAAAAGAAAAAAAAAGGTTGTTTACATGAAAAATGATGATCTAGCATTTCTATGTTTTTGTCCAGTAAAGCAATCTTAAGGTTTAAAAAAATAAAATCAAGAGGTACTGCCTTCTGAATACTTCATCGATTCCTTTGCTATTCCTCCTTTGCAGTTCAGTCAATCTGTCTATTTTTCATGTGAAATGTTAGGGGTTTTCTGTAACAATGAAATAATTAGCATCATCAATTCAGGTATTCACTTATCTAGAGACAGTTTTGTATGGTAAGCCCAAGAAGATGAAAACTAAAATCCACAGCAGCACATTTTTATTAGAAAAACAGATGCTCAGTGGAAAAACAGATCCTGCTCTGTGACTGCATGGATGCAGGAGGAATTTTTTGTGTTGCAAGACCATGAACACCCACATGTCTCTAATTAGAACTGCATCAAAGTATCTGATGTTCTGCTACCTACACCTAGCCAGGAAAAGACAGCATGATTCATGAACACCCTCGTCTTTCCCACTCTGCCGTAGCTTTCTTCAAAAGAATACCAGATTTTAAGTGCAAAACCCCCATTCCAAGGGAAAATAATTGACCAATTATAAGGTGATGCTGTTACATCTTTTACAGGCCCAAAAGTAATGATATGCAATGCAGGAGAAAACCAGTTAAAGCAGTCCTTGACTTGAAGTATTCATTTTAGTAGCAGACCACAAAAACTGTTAAAAAGTATTAGAGATAATTGTAAACCATACTTACTGGATCAAAGACCAACATTCTGCACAGGAGATGAACTGCTTCGTGTGTAGCTTGACTGGAAAGTGTATATAGGACAGGAAGGGATGGCTGTAGGGGAAACAGGAGCACAGAGAGTTGTCCTGTCAGATCCATCAGCAAGAAAGCACAGCTACAGCATGCATGGGCTTATAGTTAACAAGGACAAACTTCTTGTGAAAGAGGACATGCACTACCTAAGGCTTTCCAACAAGACAATAATCACTGTTTCAAAACTCAGCAACTGTAGGAGAGATCCAATTGATTTTTTTCCCCCTCAGTTCATATGTAATTCCTGGACAAACCTATACTGTATTTATTTATTTTGCTATATGGATACCACTTTAAGCTGTAGCTGTTCAGGGGCTTGATGAACCACATAATTTCCAGTATTTCATTTTTCTGATCTCAGTCACTGCTGGATGATGGATTATTTTGCTTTCCCTCCCCAGGCAATCCATATCTAACCGACAGCGACATCCAGCACAATTAAAAGGACCTTCAGGCATTCAGCATTTTACACAGCGGTGAACAGGCCGACTCCAGGGCTCGAAGCTCTGGGGAGGGGAAGGGGGGCTCAGGGAACTCCCCCCTGTTTCATAGCGTGGTGCTCGGGGCATGGTTAAAAAAAGCTGGAAGAGCCCAGAAGCTGAACAGCAGCATGACTCCTGCTCCAGCCAGCTCCACAACACCCAGTGTTTCCCTCCCAGGGCCACTGGGTTTCTCACACTCAGAGGCACGCCACCCCTGTGGTACCAGTGCCCTGGGACAGGCAGATTTTAAGAGGGGGGACATCCAGCCCTCTCTGGGGTTGGGAGCACACAGCCCTCCTCCAGCTGCAGACCTGGAGGCACACACTAACCCAGCCCAGAGCACGGCCACTGTGCAGCTCCTTCTCCAGGCTCTGCCAACTCCAGGGGCAGATAACGCTTCAACAAGATCTTGCTCAGCATAGAAAGGTGCCAACTGCACAGACCCTCTAGCCTGAAAAGTCTCCTTTGACTCTGGAATTACACGTTAACTCTAAGGTAGCTATATGGGAAGACAATCCCCTGTCCCCACAGTCCTGACATGTGGGAAGGATTATCCAAAGTCTCCCCAAATGAATAAAATTAATCAACAATGCTAATGCTATATGCCATTGATTTTAAAGCATTAGCTATAGCCTAGAATCTCTGAAATGAGCTTCAAATATGCTTCTTTTAAAGCCACAACAATGTCAGTCTCCAAAATCAAGTAAAATATCTTCCTGCTTAACTGACATGGAGCTACATAGGAATTGGAATAAAGAATGGCCGTGGAGTACACAGTAAATAATGTTATCATGGAACCAGTGGCCAGGGCTTTTAGCAAGTAAGGTGCATCATGGCCCTGGACCTCTCTCTCCTGTGGCAGAGAACACCAGGACCATGGCAGGGAGGAAACAACCTCCAACACTCTGCACTTCCAGAAGTGGGTCAGCACGTGGCCGCCGGCAGAGCCCAAACCGCTCCTGACCGCGCAGGGGCAGAGCCTCTCCCAGAGGAGCCACTTTATCCATTCACTTCTTCTAGTCTGAACTAGAATTTTTAAATACAAAACCAACAGAGAAGTCTACATAGTATGTAAATTTTCATTATGCCAACACACAGTGGGGTGGGGTTTTTTTTGTTTTTTTTTTTTTTAAATCAGAAACTTTGTGCATTAATCTATTTCTACATAAAGCAGCAAAAGTTACCCTTTAACTCCTACTACACTCACCTACCTGGATTAAAAATAGTTTGTGTGACAAAGTAATCACCAGTTTCTAACTTGGTTTTCTCTCCCTATTAATCTAATTAAGAAACTGGTAACATTTAGCTATTTATAACCAGCAAAATCTCAATTTTAAAAGATGAAAAGTCATGAATTTGCATTCAAGCATGAAGTGTGCTTGAAGCTGAAACCAGAGAAATACCATTACAGAAGTGAACCAGCTGCACTGTAGCCCCTATTTCCAGTGTGCTCAACTTCCGTGGCACCCCAGGAAAAATTAATGTCATTCTCCCCAACAGACACAGAACTAACTGCTTATAGTGTATTTCCTATGACTTAGTGGCTATAGGGCATTAAACCTGCATGGGAAATATCTGATGCCATTTCATCTCACTTGCTTTTTAGTATTCCCATCACTCCGTGGGTCAAGAGACAGTTTTAGGGGCTTGTCCAAGAACAGCCTTAGCCCTGGGATTAGAAAACCAGAAGACAATCCTGTACCCATTTCAATTTTTGATAAAACATCCTGAACAAGCAACTTTAACAAAGTGAACAAATTCCACAGTTCTTGCTTACTCCTACCAAGAGCACAACTACTGCACTTTGGAAATGTCAAGCAATTACCAGATTATCAGAATTTAAACCAAATATTTTCTATGAAGTACCTGGATGTATTTGTATACTGTTACATGTTTCTATATCTAAATTATTTCTCCTGGCTTTAATCACTATAAAACTTCTCAAACCTTGAAAGTGCAGAACCACATGGTTAGAAGTTACACTTCTAGCATGTGATAGCAAAAAAATGGACTTGACTTGTTTTAAAACTGGTAGAGAAAGTCTTAAAGGAAATCCTCCTGTTATTAATGTTAAAAGAATAAAAACCCTGTCATAAAATGGAACAGGCACAACTTGATGTAGTGAATCCAAAGTGCCAAGGAGGCAGAACTCCCACATGTTAATAACATAGGAGAATATACATTCATTCCTCATATCTATGGTAACTACTACTGTGGTGAGTAGACACGTGAGAAATGACTTCAACATGCAGAAAATAAAGATGCAAACTTAACTACTGGAAGGATCTGACGCGTTAACACGTGCAGGTTATTAATTTTGTTCATTTTTACTATCTCACAATCCCCAAGATGACCACCCCAAGGAGCTCAGGACCAAACACGCTCTGGGCGTTCAAGCCGGGCGTGAGCGGTGCCCCGGGGGCTGTACCTGTTTGTGAGGACCCCTGAGTATGTGAGCCTTGGCGCCTTCGCAAGCCGTCCTCATGGCCTCCAGCGACGGCGTGCCCAGCAGGTCTGTGATCAGGTCCAGCTGCAGGGACACAACACACACACCTCAGAGCTGGCTGCCACGGGTCCCTCGGCTGAGGGGACTGCTGCCCAGGCAGGCAGCAGCTCAAACCCACTGCTGAACAGACAGTGAATTAGACAGCAAACACAAACATTTGTAATTCCACTGAAAGAACCACCCTAACAGAGCCAAGTTTCGTATCCAAGAGCTTATTTTGCTTACAGGTTTAGCAAAATATTTTACTGCGATTTAAAAGTCAATTTTACATCATCAAGAAAATGGGTAAGTACCATTAATGGTGTGTTACTCATTCTAGACCTCAAATACTCTCAGCTGAGCATCAGTGTCGCACGCCAATACGCCACATAAAATGACTCCCCCAGAACAGGTCAACTACTGCTTTACACAAAATATTTTGCCATCAACAGGAATAAAACTATAGAAAATAGGGGAAAAAAAACCACAAACATACTATATTAAAAATTCCAACGTATGAGAAAAATAAGTTTTAAATTTTTTTTTTTAAATAAATCTATATATCTCAGCAGCACCAGAGGAGGGAAAAGCAGTGGTGCTGGGTATAAGGAAAAAAAAAGCTACCTAAAATAGAGCAAAGATGCTGCTGTGTTTAGAACTGGTCTCAACTTTAAATGACTTTTCATTTAACTGTCATTTTGGAAAGCAACAGGCAACTTTCACCTTATTTCTACAGAAGTTTGTATATATACTTCTTCAGTGAAAGAAACCAACCAAACCAAAGCCCCTGAACAAGCCAAGCAAACTGGAGTTAAAGAGAACAGCCTTGCAGCGGTGAGATCAGCACCTGGGTCCACACCTCCCTGTGACCACAACTCACCCGCACTAACGAGTGACTGCAGAGCTCTCCTCTGACAGCAAACCTGCTGCTGAGCTCTCCTCTGACGGCAAACCTGCTGCTGAGCTCTCCTCTGACAGCAAACCTGCAACTGAGCTCTCCTCTGACAGCAAACCTGCTGCCCCCCTCCCAGCACCCCGGAGGCAGGGGAAGCCCTCACTGGGCTCCCAGCGCGTGGCGCGCCTGAGGCGGCTGCACGGACAGGGAAAACCAGACTAGGGAAAAAATCCTAAACCCTAAGTTTTTTAGGTGTGGAAAACACATAATTGAGAAATAGAGATGTGGGGCTGATAGAATAAAAGAGCAATGTATTTAAAAAATAGAGGTAGTAATGTAACAAATTATAGCAGTGCATCAGGGCACGCAGAACACGGCGCTTGGCAGCCCACTGCTCCCGAAGCTCCCAGCAGTGATAGGCTAATATACCTTTATATCTGGGGTATAAATGCCAACACTTTATTCTAATGGTTACAAGAAAAAACACTGAAAACCATTTTCACAACTATCTCCTGAGAGTTCATATTTAACATCTCTCAAGACAAATTTTCATCTTAGCCCATATTTCCAATACATGCACAGAGGAGTTTTGTTTAGAAGTCTGATTTCTTTTATCTGAGCAGGGTCCCTGCCCTCCTGGTTTGCTCTGAGCATCCTGGGGCTCAGGCACTGGGATCCCGTGGGATACAGCTACCTGGGGGATGCAGTTCATGAGAACACCTAAAGGTACATCACCTCCCCACAGACCAGACTAGGCCTGCTCCAAAGGGCATCTCCACCCTGAACCGTGGGAGATAGGGATGTCAGGTCCTCAGGTCCCGTCCTGCTGGCCTGCACTACCTGCTCGAGGAGACTCAGCTGAAGCTGGAAACACAGCAGCAGTGTCCAGCAGCAAGCATGCCCTGGACACACGGAGGAGTGAGTCCTCTCCTCTGCGTACCCCTGTGCCACAACCTGGCTCCACAACTCCCCAAAACACAACGGGACACACAGGCTACAGCCAGTGGGAAAGGGCTGCACTGGGCTGGCAGAATCTGCCATGTTCTCCTCTCTTCCTAACACTCTGATCCTTCCAAATGGATCCTGCTCACTGCCCCAGGCATGTGACCGGTTGTCTTTAAGGAGGATTAAATAATAATCAGCAAAATCAGACTAGAGGAACTGGCTAATTTAAGGAGGTTGTAAAAATTTAGCACCCTATAACCTACCCTTTACAAACCAGCATGCAGACCAGTCATTGAAGCATTGAAGTGGAGAAAGGCATTTGCTCTCAGACAGTCAGAAAGTGTTCCTGATTATCTAAGTTTCAGTATGGATTATCTCATCTCTTGTATTTGTAAGAAATCTCACTAAATCCTTATCAAAAGTTATCTACTGTAACTGGAGTAAGCAACTCAGATATATTCATCACTTCCAGCGTGATACTTCATCCGAAGTTTAAAATAGGTGTCAACTGGGATCCCAGTTAAAAATTGCAGTACAGTCAGTTTTAAAACAATCTCTTCCCTGTTTTTTCTACCAGGAGCAATTTAGGCTGCTGCTGGCTCCTGGCAGCGGAGTCCCCCCTGTGCTGGTGAAGGCCCCTGGGCCCCGGGATAACCACCTCTGGTGTAGAGGCTGCACCACGGGCACGGCTCCGGCTTGAGGAAACCCCAGAACATCACCGGGCCTGAGGCACTCCTGTACTCCACCCTCCTCTGAACATCACCCTCTGAATTTCTCAGAACAGAACTGAAATATAGATGGCGATTACTACTTAAAACCGTTTTACCACACAGGGATTACAAAAGGCCTAGGAGCTCTTACATAACCTTATGCAACTTTTAAATTAAATAAAGTGAACACCACCCAAAAAGCCCCACCCCATAATGCTATTCTGGAGTTATCTGATGAATGTCTTTGCACTTTACGTTTCAAGATGGATAGCTAAGGCTGTAAAAATCACACCTATTTTTAGCTTCAGTGTAGCAGAAGATCAAAGATTAGAGAACCAGGAGATCTTAAATATTTTTGAGACTGCAACAGAACTGCTGTCAATTTCACTAGCAGCTCTGATGCCATTACTGCTTTTCTCCTCTGCAATCTCTTCACTAGGGGAGGGCTGAGGTGTATTTTGGGAGGAGGTACACTTTTTGTGATCATATGAGGTATCAGTGCTGTTTAGAACGACCAGCAAGTCACTTCTTGGGAACACGGCTGCAGTGGCAGGATCGGCATCTCCAGACAGGACATAGCACTGAAATAATATATACACAATACAGCAACATTTGAAATACACAAATGCTGGAAACAGCATGCTAATGTGAATGTTTCTCAAACCCATGAAAATGCTACAGGCATGAACACACAAGAGAAGTACAGAGTGTGGAATGTCACCTGGAACCAAGTTTGGAAAACATTTTACGTCTTGTCAATCAATACATGTAATCTCACAATTTCAATGCTACATAGTTTCTAATCTATAGATGACTACTAGCAACATTAAGGAGAAAAATTTTTATGTCAGCACATCTTGTTCCTTCTCTTAGATGTATAAATGCAGCCACCTCTAATATCCTGCTACAGACTTTATTTTCTGTCTGCTGTAAAAACAGCACTCCAAGGTAATTAGAAATATAGGTCTATTATATTAGCTTGCTTACTGTTGGAACAGTGACGTGTTCTGGTGCATCTCAAGTTTTTATAGGTTGCCACAGCTATGTAACATCAGAAAATATGCAACACTTCTTACACACTTGACCATTCTTAAAGTGAAGCAGTCCAAGCAATGCTACTAATTGGCATTTTAAATAGTTCAAGTGTCAACAGCATACCTCCAGTCATACCTTGACAGAAAACGTCCTGCTTTCTCCTACCAGTCATTACAGAAAGATTGATCTTGGCTATAGCACTTTTACCTTATCCCAAGTAAAATGCTACAGCAGACTTTGGTACTGAAGCAGATTACAAAACCCACACACTTCAAAAGCTAGCACTGATAACCACTCCTTTCAATACTCTCTGGAAGGTGTCATTGCAGAGTCGCTTGGTTTCTTGCCCGTGTGTAAACCAAGCAAAACAAAAGCAAGTTCGAGGTTCAAAATGCATGAGTATTACTGATTCCATCAAATTATGCAGCAGAAAAATTTTAAAGGGAAATTTTATTATACCTGCTGTATGGGACTCTGTGCCTGAAACAATATTCTTCGCCCAAGTAATTCTGCAAAGATGCAGCCTACAGACCAGATGTCAATAGCATTGCTGTAGTGCCGGCTGCCCATCAGGATTTCTGGAGCTCGGTAATACTGAGTGACAACTTCCTGAGTCATGTGGCGAGATTCATCTAATTCTTCCACCCTGGCCAATCCAAAATCACAAATCTAAATTGAGAAGGTAAATAAGAAAATTAAAATAACCAAAACACTTAATGCATTTCAAGAAGGTAACCTTCTGGTAACGAAGCAGGAAATTCCAAACCAGCATTTAAATAAATCAGATAATCTGCTGTAACTGCATAAGCAAAGGGAAAGGGAAAAGGAAGAAATTATACTACTTTATTCCACATCCATTTAAACTTTATAAAATTTTATTTGAAACCACAGTACATTTTTAGTTGGCATTACAATATTTATAATCTAAACGAGTAAAGAAAAACCAAACAAACCACTTTACAACAACAACAACAAATTGCCAACCTCTGGGTACAGAATATTTCAACCCAAATCAGATTTCATTTGTTATGATATGCTTCAAAATGTTACAGAAAAATTTATCTGTCTACTCACTTTGTCTTTGAGAATTTTAAAAAAATTTCTTGAACCTGAAAGGTTAATAACAGAGGCCAAAACCTTCACAGTTAGAATGCTTAGCAAATTAGTGTAAACAACAATTTTTTTTTTTCCCCTCTCCAATATTTGGCATAGCTATAAGACGTGCCCAAGCCCTCCACAATTCCACATGCCTGAGAAGTTAATGGAAGAGCCTTGGGCATTCTGTGTGGCCTCATGTCTACCTTGCTTTCAGAGACTTGGGGAGAGGTTGGGAGAGAAGGGGAAAGGGAGACGTCAGTTTCCTTTATAATTTTTAAAGGAATTTTAAAACCTGTGGGATTTTTTTTTAACATGACTTTCAGAAAAAGCATTCATATTAAATGTTTTGTTTAAAAAATAACTGATATATAATGAACAGCACATACATATGTACATTTTCAATAAATTTAATTAGCACCTTAAGAACACAGTTGCTGTTCACAAGGAGGTTCCCTGGTTTAATGTCTCGATGCAAAATGCCAGCAGAGTGTAGATATTTCAGACCTGAAATATTAAACAAAATTAAAATAAGTACCTTTTTCTCTTTTAAAAGAAGTTTAAGGGTGACAACATTTCCCTGGAAGGTCTTGCAACTCCTGATCAGCAAAGACTTTGTCACTGGCTCATATTTTTATACAGTTCTACCTTCCGGTCTCTAGTAGAGAGTCACTCAGTGAAAGGATAAAACAGTTGGAGTATACAAACTTGACAGTGGACATCATTTAAGTAGTTGTTGTTTTTTTAAAAAAACAACAACAAAACCCCAAAGCATCATCTCCCTGGCTATGACATGGATACCCTGCTAATCATGACACTGGAATATTGACATATTTTACTTTTACTGCTCTGTTTCCCAGTAACAATTTTAACATCTGCAGCACTATAATTTGACTTCACCTTTTTTTTTTTTTTAGGTAACAGCTACACTTCAGAAATAAACTCAGATTAAACCCAAGATAATTTGCCTTCCTCCACCCCCCAAATTAAAGCCTCGTGAGTCAGCAGCAAATGTAAAACAAGGCTAAGAGAATACAGGCCCAAAGCACAGTAAGGCCGAGGCCCTTTCCTTAACTTTATCAGTTTAAAAATTCAAAGCTAGAGCTAATGAAGTTAGGACATCTGATCACAGCCACTGGGGATGTCTCCAATGTTCAGGTGGTTAGGAGAGAAAGAACCTGTGCTTCCAGCGTGCTTTTGCTGTCCCCAAAGCTGTGATTCTGACCTTTTTGAGAAAATGGAAGCAATGCAGAAAGCACCTCACTAGAAGTACTGCAGGAGAGAGCAGACCAACATGAAGTTGTTCATGCACGTGAGCTACAGGAGACAGTGTGGAAAATGGAAAAATGGCCATAATTCCAGTAGGGTCAGAGAGAGCAAAAGTAAATCATGGCATTAAACTGGGGAACACTAAGCTCTCAGGTCAAATGTCTGGGCAAACAGAATGAGAATTCAAGTAACTCTTGGCCAAACTTTAACTGACAGTTTTGCACTGCCATTTGGATAGAAATCAGAGTTTTGGGTGTTCCCCCAGTCATCAAACTCAGCAGTCACAGAGGCACAAATGCCTTTTGTCCTTTAGGTGTATAAATCTTTTCTCTAGCACATCAGGTACCTGGAAGAGCCCCTGCTAATTCTGAATATAATTCAGATGTCTTTGCTCTTTATGAAAACAACCTACTATTTACTGCCTCCTGATAAAATTAACTATTTATTTTTTACTGAAAATACTCAAAGCCAATGGAAAAGCAACTGGACTAACATTGGTCAGATGTTCAAAACACAAGCACAATAATCCCATTTCTTGGATGAAAGTTTCCAAATGGACTCGTTACTCACGACTGTGCTGGAAGGCAGCAGGGCTGCTGTATTCTTATAACTAGAATCATTAATGCTGCTATTCATTCATAATAAAAAGAACAAGTTTCCATGGGAAACTCATTCAAGATGTGGATGTCTTGAGAATAAGCATTAAAAAACGGAAAAAAAAAATAAAATTACTACTACTATATAATTGTCATTAAGTTTAAAAAAAGAAAAATTACCTCGTAAAATCTGGTAAAGAAAAACTTTGACATGATCCGAGCTGAGTGGCTGAGGAGAGACGATAATCTTATGGAGGTCACTCTGCATCAATTCAGTGACAACATATCTTCAATTTATTAGTTAAGGCAAAAGCAGAAAGTCGAGCACATAATCTCTTGAAACATTTACTCTGATTCCTAGGAATCTGAGCTCTTACAGGTCAGAGCTATCGAGTTAAAAAGAATAAAGCTTCTTCAGAGGTCAAGTCTCCAGACTCTTACAAGAATGAAAATAAAAAACGGGTTGTGAAAGAAAACAGATTACTCAAAGCAGCGTTTGCATTAAGGCAATTGTTACAAAATTATTCCAAAGTCAATTTACGACACAGAATAAAAAAAAAAAAAAGATTAATAGCATCTTGAAACCTTTACATTTTTCCTTAAAATCAATAAGCCACAAATTACAATCAACTAAAGCAGCATCTTCATAGTGGACAGACATCACCACAGTTTAACCAGGCAAAGTGGTAAGTGCAAGCCTGTGGAAGTCAGTTATCACAAGGACCTCACAGGTCTCTTCAGCACAGCAGAATTTTAAACTACACACACTTCCCTAAATTGACCCAGTACCAGCTGTTATACCTTCTCAAGCATCATACACACATGCACCCAAACACCAGCCATAAAACTGCTTCTGAGTTATAGTGAGACAAAAAAAAAAACCAACAAAACACCAAAACAAACAAATAATGAACCCCTGAAATTCCATCTGAGGGTAAAACTTAAAAAAAACCAAACCAACAAAACCACAAGCAGAAAGCACTATTGCAGCTACTCACAGGCAGGCAGAACACAGCAATGGCCATGCTCACTGATCATTTACACAAACACTTGAAGATGCAAGGAGCTGTACACACTGGGACTTATACTGAGGCAAGGTGTGGATCAAGGTTATTGTGTTTGTTCAGGAAGCACTAAAAACATGATGTTTTAAAAGCGTAGAAATATGGAAGACATAAGCAGCATGTCTTCACCCACAAAATCAGTATCATAGTGCCAGTTTCCTGAACACGCTACAGAAATGAGACACAGAGAAACCCTGTAGGGACAGGCTCGGGACACCGCAGGCAGGCGCTGGCCACGGGCCGCCA